TGTATAGATGTCCAGTTGAGGTTCGCATCCATAGGCAACCTACGGCTCTAGGCAGAGCGTTCAAAAGGGCGCCGGAAGGGTTAGGATAGGATTCCTAGTGTTGGGCACGAGGGTGCCTAGTTTCGACATTGGTAGCGGAGCCACCTGCAAACGGCAGGTGGCATCCGGGGAAGTGTAGATCCTAGGTAGGATTGAGCACTGGAAAAGCAGTGTCTTTTGTAGGTGCCATGGCCTCGTCCTCCGATGGTTTTGGGGGGCAAAGAAGGTTCAGTGGAGACACGCTGGACCCTCAAGAGTACAGGCGATGGCGCTTGTGGGCTTTAGCCAAAATGGCTGCCACCAAGGACATGGCTCCGACACAGAGGGGACCATTCGTGTTTTGTCTGTTGGACGGGCTGGCTCTAGAGACAGTTGAACATCTGACGTTGGACAAGATGCGAGAAGAGAATGGAGACAAACACATTTGGCAATGCCTAGACGAGAGGTTCCCTGACAAACTGGCTCATGATCACATGGCCGAATGTCTCAAAGAGATTTTCGAGCTACATGCTCAGGAGGGTGAAACCACAGTGGCATGGTGCTCACGGGTTCAGGAGGCCTTCGCTAAGTGTCGGAGAAAGGTTCAGGTGGATTTTCCCGCCGAGGCGCGGGGCTGGGTATGCCTCAACGCTTCAGGACTTTCTGCTGATCAACGCGGAATCGTGACTGCAAAGACCCAGGGGGATTTGAAGATGGAGAACATCATGCCCGCGATGAGAAGCTGTTTTCCAGATTTCAAAGCTGGACGACGTGTGACGAGAGGCAACTCTGCCTATGTGGTACAACACGATGAGACAGAGGATGAACCGGAGACAGGGCTGCCTTTTGAGGCGGAAGGGCCCGACAGTGTTGTATTTGAAGAGGTGGAAGCCTTCTTAGCAGATCACGGGTTTCAGGAAGCTGCTTCCTCTGGGACCTCAACTGAGGTCTACGATGAGTCAGAGATTGCGGAAGTGCTCGCCGCCACGTGGCGAGAGAAGCGCACAGAGATTTCAAAGTTGCAGAAAGCAAGAAAGTTCAAGCAAGCATCTACTGTGAAGAAGCAATTTTCCAGAGAGCTGACGGATATCCAGAAGAGATCAAGGTGTCGACGCTGTGGACAGATCGGACACTGGGCCAGAAGTTGTCCTCAGGCCCAGACTTCCGGCTACACAGGTCGTGCAGACAAGGAAAAGGTCAGCGGTGCTGCAATGGTGACAGATGAAGTGCTATTGGTTTCTTCACCTGGCTTCGGCATCATCGACTCAGGATGCAGCAGGACGCTCATAGGCCAGCAGACCTTGGGTGACTTCATGAGGCTGTATCAAGATAGAAGAATGTCGGTGCCGGAGAGTCGACCACAGCAGAACTTGTTCCGGTTCGGCAACGGTCAGGAGGAGCTGTCGGAGAAAGTCGTCTCGATGCCAGTGATCATCCATGGGCAATCCGGAAGGATCGAGGCAGCAGTCATCAAAGGCAAGGCGCCATTGCTGTTGTCTCGGAACACCCTCAAGAGTTTGGGGGCAAAGTTGGATTTTGCTGCAGAGACGGTTGAGCTTCAAGGAGGACCTCCACAACAGCTGCAAACGAATGCTGCCGGACAGTTCGTTCTGAATGTGCTGGATGATCAAGGGACAGAGTCCCTGCTGGTTGAAGAAGAGTCCATGGAAGAAGACCAAGAGCAGATACATTGCAGTGTTGAACATTGTACAGCACAGTTCGTTGAGACAGATGACCACAGCAACATTGAGCATTGTGCAGTGCAGGGTGTCAAGACAGACAGCAACATTGAGCAACAGTCGGCGCAAGCAGACGATGGGGAACAGTTCATGCAGGGACCAAACCGAGTCCTGACATGCAGAGAGCATCGTTGTTTGTTGGCGCATCATGAAGCTTGGACAAAGGGAAAGAA